AATGAATGAAGTATTCTTTGTTGTATACCGATACAGTAATGGACAAAAAATATATGGGTACAATAAATTAATATGTACAATTGGCGGTGATGCTTAATGAGTTCGTGATTAAATTATAAAATAATAACTCATTCATTCATTTTATAATAAAAACATTAGAGGAGATCATGTTTTATAACATCCGGCACGAGATTCGTACGGGTTAATTGTGATGAACATATATCAATCCATTAGGTTATGCAAATCTATCAATATGACATTCAACCTTATACACTCGACGGATGATTCGTAGCGTACCAACACACACTTCCGTGAAGCGTGAAAATTTATTAATTGCAATTGAGAATACCTTCGCACGGTTTTAATATATTCGTCAATAAGTCTGTTTGGTGTCTTTGGTCGGCTGTACCTTTATATTAACGTGTTTGTAAATAAAATTAATCTGAACGATAATATGATGAAAAAACTTTCTAATGCCGCGAGTAGACAGACAACGGACGTCTTATCAATCAGATAAAGTGCGGTCATTTGCACTTCAAGCCATTTTTTCCATCAGGTGCACCGTTTATATTCTTCCATATATTTTAACGCCAAGGACACAGATAACCATGGACAACTTTGTCATGTGATTGAGTTATCCATGGTTGTCTGGTAAAATTCACTTGGTTAGAGCTCAATGGTTAGAGCAGTTGCCTGGATTGCGAAAGGTCATGGGTTCGAATCCCATCTCAGGGTGCCAGGGACCAAGTGGATTTTTTAAGCATTTTGTATTACAAATTCAGTATAGTATTGTGAATTGATCAAATATATTAACTTGGCTTGATTTTAACATTAAATCACTGACGGATGCAATTCTCTCATGGATGCAAAACTCATTAAAATAAAACTATAAATATCATCCTCTGCCTAAATTCTGAGAATAGTAAACATTTAAATCTAAAACATTAATACTCGTACAATTTGAATGTAATTTTTAACATTGGTACTAAAGAAATTCTACATAAATATTGCCTGGTAAGTTCTAAAATCCAAAATGATAAAAAACTTTACCAAAGTCAATTCTATGCATGGCTCATATATAATTCGTTGGCTGATAGGGTCGAGTCCCAAACTATTTGATTTGAGAATAATGTATTTATCGGGAGACCTTGTGCAATAAACATTTTTAGACTTATATTACGTGTTGAAATATGTATTGTGCTGTATGAATAGTGTCATCAATTTGCCGTTGACCTCCTATCAAACAGACGATTCGTTCAAAGCGAAGGTCATTGCACAATGGACAATGTCCTTTCATTGGTTCAACAGAACAGCGATATTGAATAATGCAATTTTTTATAGTATCAGCTAAGGTTTAAATGTGTTATTAAGTTCGGATTTCCTCGGATTTTTAAGCTAAAAATACGATGATTTCGAGCTCTTTTTCCTTAATTACTAACACATTTAGACCTTGGCTGATACTTTCCCAGTGTCTGTCAGACGCTTTATGTGCCAACATCGTGTGATGATACCGTGCGAAGTTTGAAGCCGGATAGTGTACTAAATTTCCCTAAACTAGAATTAATCCTGGGATACTCGGACGGATGGTTACCCTACTAACACACGCTGAATAGTTTAAAAACAAATGCTGGTTTGCGAAGACAAATATTAGTATTAGTACGTAGGTACCTTAATCGTTAATTATAAAGACAAATGTTGTTTCAATAAATCGTCTCATTAGAACGACGAGAAAACACAAATAAAGACTTGTGATATCATAGTCGTATGTATAATATCTGCAGGTACATTATGTATTCTGATTACTACAATACGCGTAAGAAAAATAGTTTATTATTGGGCAAACTACCTATCCGAAGTAATCCGAGCCTGCTACAAAGTGCGTTATTTCATTTCGTTTTAAAATTTGCAAACTTTTTGAAAACCGTATAATAAATAACCTTCACCAAAGTAAAAAAAGTGTATTTTTTCCCCCAATTTGTTTTTTTTTAATGGATAGAAACTGCTGGACCTATTTTAAAAATTCTTTCACCTACGGGTAACTACTAAACGAAACTACTTGCTTTAGTCACAATGTCATGATATAAATATATATTAAAATTACTAGTCATAGTAACTAAGTGTTAGACGTACGTATAACGTATAATATTAATATAGTATAGGAAAAAAAACAGCTGCATACCACCTACTTTTTTTTTTAAACAAATTATAATATGCGACTATTGTTTCGTTATCGTAACTGTTCACGTGTTTCGATTAGTATTGGATAAAATTATACACCATTAAGCGTAGAAAATTATTGCTAATCTTATAATTCAGATAAGTATTAAGAGCTTAATTATGTTGTACATAATCAAACAGATATAATAATTCACGTAATAAAAAGTATTTACTTTCAAACGTAATATTAAAAAGATATTTACTTTGAAGCACTTTATTTATCACGATTAAAAGTCTACTGTCAAAGTATTATGTAGAAAACACTATCTTCTACCACTTGCTTTACGTTTAAATACTCGTTAAAATCACGTATTAACGGTCTCAAGTAATTAATGAAAATCGCACCCAATTCAATTGACTGCCCTGGGGGCCAATTCTACTAAATACATTTTGTTTAAATCGAATCGAAAACGGATCGAAACCGAACGAAACTACAGTTTTTAATGGTTTTTCTATTCTACTTAGTGACATACGATACAATTCCAGCTAAAATAGAACTGGAATTGTATCGTATGTCACTTTGTAATAAGCATTCATTTGAGAAATTATAAAATTATCAATCAATTTTGCTTTGTAATTTTATACAAAAAATTGAATCATTAGAATTTATACACAACATAACGGGAATTCGGACACATAAGTGAATTCCAATTCTGTTTCGGATTTTTATGGAATCGCTCTCCTGAATTCCGGGGATTTCTGTGACTGCACTATAGTCAAGTCTGTCTTTCGAATAGCACAGACTTGTTCAGTTACTGCTATGTTGCTGTTTTTTTATATAAAGACTAGGAACTTATTAGAAAAATTAACTACTGCTATATGATATATAAAAATAACAAAAGCCGCCCTAAACCATATAGTACTTTTTACCTTTCATCGCCGGTTTTTCCAAGCCGCATCTTTTTACCTTTCTTCGCCGGTTTTTCCGAGCCGCACCTTTTAACCTTTCATCGTTGGTTTTTCCAAGCCGCCCCTTTTTACCTTTCATCGCCGGTTTTTCCAATTACCAGGGTCTCAATTCTACTGTTTACGTATTAATTGCATCTCAATAGAATATCAACTACTTGTATTTTGACAGATATATTTATTATTTTGTGACCTAGTAATGAGAACTGTATCATAAAGGGTTTTAGCTGATACGCTTTTGAGTTTCCCCTACAATACCCGGTATGTCATCATTAAGGGTTTGTCACACAATATTTTATGACGTAAAATATAAAGACCTCCCCTAATATCTGCCCGGCCTAGGTCCGGGCCTATTGTGATCTCAGGATAAATTCGCTGCCTAATATATTTTATTATATCCATGGGATGTATCTTATCTTTCCAAATGTTGCTTCAGTTTATTAGACTGATATCGCCATGCGTTGAGTACGCTCCGTCGAGCACCCAATTTATATGTTATCAACATTTCCGTACAGATAATTTGTACATAAAAATTATTTTATAGTACATGATTACGAACTGATTTCACTATTATTGATTATTTTGTGGAAACAATATTGGTAGCGATAGTATTGTGCGGTTTGATCTGGCGTGTTTCCGCCATATCCCATATCCTTCTCACCTGATTAGATTTGGGTATTCCGCACTGGGTTTTATCAATAACGTCAGCCACGAAGGCTGGAACAGTCTCTACAGGATCCTACTTGCTTCTCCCTAAAGGTGAAGGTGTATCGAAGGGTGTTTAGTGGGTATCCAGGTTTTGACTAGACTTCGGGCAGGTCCGTAAGGAAGGATAGTTTTACACATTCCCTGTCGCCTGTCTAGCTGCAGGGATAGAGCATAAAGCATTCCCTCTACGAAAAAACAGGCTATCCACGCTCCGATCTGAAGATTTGACAGTTCCTAAAACTTACAAATCTCGATTTAATTAAATGAAAACTTTGTAATTTCTATCTGAAGTATGTATGTACGTTTATACGTGTTCAATAGAGTATACAGTTTAAGATAGCCTGCCTGCCATTAGCTTTTTTTTTCTGAGAGTTCAATCACCTTTAAATTGATCGCGTTCGTATTGCGACCATTTTTTTTTTTGCAAATATTTCAACGTAACTACAGTGTACAGGCAGACAAACGGTGACTCTTTATTTACATTAATTTCGTGTCGTATGATGTAACGGTATTATGAATTGTAAAACTGTATGGTAATTGCTGGTGCATGTTTTGAATATTCGCAGTTTTGATATAATGGATATTCGTGATGCAACTTTTTTGTTGTTTCGTGTCTCGCGATTGTATAATCTGTGGTATCATTGAAATAGACGAACTGTGCGAAGTCATAGTAATTACATGTTCTCTGTATGCAAATGTGCGTCTCACATACCTACATAAAGGAATATAACAAGGGTAGATAGAACAAGTTAACATAATTATTAGTGATGCATCGGTAATTACTTAACGAAAGCAGAAACAGAACCTATACTATGAAAAAAATGTTTGTATTATAATATTAATTATGTATTATTCTTTATGAAATCATTGTCATAACACACAATAATAAGTATTATTTTTTACTAAAAAATTATAAACACGTAGCGACAAATCACCATAAACTCCCGCGCGCATCCTATAAACAATTATCTAATCAAACCGTGCGTTGTAATAAATAAAGTTGCGGAACTTCTGCAGTTACGGAATTAGCAGGAGTCTGTTGCATCACTGATAATTATTTATATCAAGTCATATTTTTTTTATATAAGTTCTTTTTATTATTTATTTAAGAAACAGCAGCAGAATCTATTTGTTTAATAGTAACTAACGCAAGTTTTTTTTATTTCCAGGTACCTAACTCAGTGGAGTCGCTGTAGTCACAAACACAAAATATTATACAGGGTTCTTTCCAAAACACCAGCAGTCTCGCAGGACTAGAGAGCCAATATAATAAAGAACATTACTTTATCTAAGAGTTTAACTATAAATTAATACTTTAAACAAAAAAACGTTTTATAAGTTTTTGTTGGAATATCGTGACAATAGGGATGATGACTAAAAAAAATGCAATTCTATTTAGTCCGTCAGTCAGATAATAGAAAAATATTAGATACGTATTTTTTTTACTTCAATTTAACAAGAAATAGCTTAGATAACAGGCATTAAAGTAGAGGAGTGGGGGCTCGCTACGTCACAGTTGAGTAGAAAACTTACTCTAACGTGACGTCATGCGAAATTTCAACTCAATGTAACGCCGTAATTTTATGATTACGAAAAAAATAAAAAAATAAGTGTTTAATATATTTTAATACTCTACCTGACGGACAAACAAACAAAAATTAGTCATCATCCCTATTATAACTCGATATACTCGATTTATGACGCTGTTTGTGCGCTGTGTGAAGTACCTACTTATTTGATACTAGCGCGTAGAGATAATTATATACTAACGGTTTTTTTGATACTAGCGCGTATTAATATACTAACGGTAAATTAAATTGTATTTTTGTATGAAAGCTAATGTAATGAATGGATCATCAAAAGTTATAGAACAAGTATTGTTGTTTAGACGATTGAAGATATTTAGCTTTCTAGTTCTACGAGGTTGTTGGTGTTTTACAAGTTGCCCTGTATATAGGGTAAGTTTCTAATTAGTGCACAAATGTTTCCCTACGGCTTATTATCGGTTAACAGAACGTAATAGAAAAACTGTAGGTATTTTGATTAAAATAGGTCGTTAACCTCTAGGTACAGTAGGGTGACCAAGAATAGGAACGTTTTTATGGAAACTTTTTGTTTATTTCCCATGTTAGTAGGTTCAAAAAAATGTTTGTATATGTAAATATACAATATTTTTTTCTTAATTTAATTTAATTTTTACCTTACAGTAAAAATACAAAAATTAAATTTGTGCACTGATTAAAATTCCATGTAAGTGGTTAAGCAAAACCTTAATAAAATGCGATTTTACTGACGAAATCGAGATTTAAAATTCCTTAAGTTTTCATAAATAAGTACGAGCTATTGAAATATCATTCCTACATAAGACCTATACTATACCTTCAAACTATTTTAAGTAAAACCTATATTTTTAAGACAATTACATTGGGAGCAATAAAAACTATGAAGCCCAATTCACTTTATTAAGTTACTTAAGTATTTATCCGTTATAGATATTTCGCAAAGTGTATAATATATATCATTATAGCCATGACTAGATTAGAGAGAAGAAAAAACAATCGAATCGAAGTTTTTTTAACAATAGTTGAATATAATTTTCCTAAAAAAATTGTCACAAAAATAATCCAAAAATTATAATAGTAGAATACAAAATTAAAATATAATGAAAAGTTTGAACCAAAAGTTGGTCAACTTTTAAATATGAGTATTATTATTTTTAAATTAATTATTTTTGTAATGTAAATTACACACATCATATCATCAGGTTAATACAAAAGGCTAAACTCCGCATGAAATATTAAATTTGCAACACTTGGTAAAGATAATAATAATAGTAGTGGCGTAAAAGGTGGCAAGTCGGCAAAATGCTTAGAGCCTCCGGCCGGAAGAAGGCCCCCGGGTAACTTATCACAAGTCTGTGCCCACGCTCAGAGGAATTTTGCGGCGTGGCAGATCCCTGGTCATCAGAAATAAAAATAACCTTTTTTAGTAATTTGATGATATCCAAGTTTCTATTACTTTTAATGATTACATATTAGCTATATGGTAGGTTATTTTTAAGAAACCCATTTATTTTTCATTCGTTGAATGCACTAACATCGCCACAATAGCATTATCTATTTCTGTGCATAGGTGTTAAATGTATTTTCAAATTAATTTTATTTATTCATGCGTATCAGGTGAAAAAAAATTTTTTTTTATTAATTTAAACATCTATCGAGCATCATCACATCTGGGTTTATATATATATATATAAACCTCGATATCAAGCAGTATAGCATAATCTATATCTGTGCATAGGTATTTAATGTATTTTCATATTAATTTTATTCACTCATACATAGACTGACCCAGAATAAGTTTCGTTTTATTTTTAAATTTAAAATCAAAATTCTAAGGCCTCGATACAGTCGAAATGCATTTTAATATATCTTTCAACAAAATAAGATATTGGATAAAGCCCTTTGTTCTAACCTGCTGTGCTGCCAAATAATGTATAATGTTTCTACAACATTTATTATTTTAAAAAAGAAACTTCTATTTAGTCAAATATCATTTAAACTTGTAACCAACTGGTTCCAGACATCAAAAAATAGCTTTTGTTGCATATTCCAATCAAATTAAAAATTAACTATTTTTATTAAGAAATCTTTTATTATGTTCTGAAATGAAATCTTTTATTATTATTTAATTATGTTCTTAACGAATCAGTTTTATTGTTTATATTTAACAATGAATCACTAATCTATTTGGAATGATAATGTTTTACAGAAAATAAATTTATTTTGTACCATAATCCTAAAGTATAGGTAAGTTATATCATTTTATTTTTAGTACGTGTTATGTTAAAAACATTATTAGGGTGGGTGCACCAGTTCCACATCAGGAACAAGCAATACACCATTTCAATCTTAATCTTAAACATTAACGTTTTTTGCATATCCCGTAATTTTTTTACATATACATGCCATCTACAACCTCTTCTACTTTAGGTACATTGCGACTTGCCACATTCTTTTTTATGTAAAGTTATACTCGACAACAAATTGAAAAATTTTAATAAGTTACATGATTAAATGTTAAATAAGAAGCACAATGATTGTCAAAAATCTAATCATTAATATTTGTTTAAAATGTTGCTTAGTCGGTTTGCTACTGGTGCACCCACCCTATATTAATTGAATCAATTTGATGTCATGAAAGAATATGAAAAGTTTTATTGTGAATAGTTTATTTTTCAATGGAATCTATTTTTTTATTTAAAAATTTAATATTTATTTTTGTAAACGTTAAAAATTATGTTCCTATAAGGCATATTTTAAATAAAATTAATAACTTGTTAAAAATTTATTTCTAATTAATTGTTTATAAATGTCAGTATTTATGAAAAATTATAATAAGGTACATTTCTTTTTAATTACCACTAAAGAATACAAAATACTCTTTTACATTTCAAATGAACATAAAATAAATTTTATCGAACTCTATATGTTGTTTCAATTAACATGTTCTCTGTTTATATTATATTATAAAAAAATGAAATTCATGTTTATTTCAAAAAAAATAGATCAGATGCTTTTTAACACGGATATATTTTTACTAACGTTATCTAGAATAAAGGAAAGCTTTATGAAGTCTCGTTTTACCTTTTTTAAATTTGTATGTTTTGACACAACATTGCGTATTCGTATAAAATACATTTTTAAACGCTGTCGCAGGCTCAGCTTAAGTGTTTATATGTATATACAGTATTTGATTTTTATCTACAAAACAAATGGAACGATAACGTGTAATAAACGAATTTATGATTACAAATTCACTATATCATAATTAATTGATCCATCGTAATCCTCTAGTTTAAAAGTTTAAGGAAATACATTAACGTAAAACGCAAGAAATGTGGAGTTATTTGTTGTTCGTTGGTAAAGTCTTAACATTTTTTTCATATCAATAAAATGTTATACCTACTTTTTTTTTACTTTAAAAGTAAATAACACAACTCCATATTCTGCGAATATTTCTTGAGTATAATATAATATTTCTATAGCAAAAAATCACGTTTGTTGTATGGAAACCCCCCGTTAAATATTTATTGTATTAGGTTTTTTAGTATTTGTTTTTAAAGCGGCAACAGAAATACATCATCTATGAAAATTTCAATTGTCTATTACGGCTCATGAGAAACAGCCTGGTGACAAACGGACGCAAGGACAGCGGTCTTAGTAATTGAGGCCCGGTTTACCCTTTAGATACGGAACCCAAAAACGGAAAGCACGATCACACCACAAATATTAAGAAGGGGAACGACGTTAATTTCGTTTCATTAGTCTTTTCTAAGAATCAACTGTCTATACACGGACCACATAATGTATTCCAAGAACTGTTCCCATACTCAAACATGTTACTTTCTGAAGTTCGAGGAACTTTAATCATGCTTCTGACGCCGTAATAAAAAAAAAACACGGCAAGAAAACGCCGATCATATTAAAACAATCTTTCGTATTGTAGTCTGACCACAGATGTAGTTTTAAATCGGGAGCTTTATATTTTGAGGAAAATATAGGCTTGATTATTAATATTGTATAAAAACGTGGTTTTTAATGTCCTATGTGTATATAAAAAGCTCCTATCACAGTTTTCTCTAATTTTACCACGTAGGCAGGTCGGCCTAGCTTGAGCCTGTCCGTCTCATATGCATCATATCCAACCTGCAATTTTCAGGGCGGGGTAGTTTGAGAGCCCTGGTTTAAGTCTTTAGTTTCTCCAGCTTTATAAAAAACAGGATTAATTACGTAATAGGAGCCAATGACGAAAAGACATTACTTAGATAATATGAATTCTTAATTCTGCATATGTAGGTAAATAGTGACAATGTACTGAATTCGAAAGGAACAACTACTTTTTACTCATTATCACTATTCTAGGCTATTGGTATAAATAAAAGATTATTTATAATTACAAAATTCTAGTATGTGTTTATTTTAAAAAATTACACGTGTCAGATGTCAACTAATAATAGTTATATGTCCAAAAATAATAATAATCCATTATAAATTATGAATGTACATCTAAATAAATCAAAAACTACATATTTAGGCTGCCTTTATCACAAAACCATTTGTTTTTGTACCAATACGTTGACAGACTTTTCTACTTAATCAAAATAAATATTAAAACTGGTGTTCAAGATATAATTATTTCTTATTAAATAGAGTTATTGATAATTTTCAAATAATTATTTTTATTAATTTTTATTTCGGCGCTGGAACGACCAAGCATTAATGTTCACTAAAGTATGAAGTCAATCTTTTGTATACCTATTTAAGTGCAATATGGCGATTGTGCGGCGAAAGACAATA